AGTCAACCTGTACGCTGAGCAAATAATCTTGAGAAACTGGACTAAATGAAGAACATTGCATCAGGGTTGGAAGAAGGCTCATTAACAACCTGTGATATGCGAATGATACAACCTTGTTTACTGAAAGCAAAAAGGACTTGAGATACTTGCTGATGAAGATCAAAGATTATAGCCATCAGTATAAATTACAAGTCAATGTAAAGAACATAAACTTACAACTGGAACAATAAACAAAAACATGATAAACAGAGAAAAGATTGAAATTGTCAAGGATTTCATTTGATTTGGCAACAGTAGTGAGGTTGGCCCAGGATCGGGCAGTGTTTCGTTCTGCTGTGCATAAGGTCGCTATGGGTCGGTACTGACTCGACGGCATCTAACAACAACAACAAATGTCCTCCCAGGCTTTTGGTTGTGTGGACTATGACAAACTACCAGTGACATTATGAATGGGTTTTCCAGAACACTTCATTGTGCTCATATGTAGGCCCAGAGGCCCAGAACAAGGAGATATTGAACGGTTTAAAATCTGGAAAGGTGTGCACCAGCGTTGTATTCTTCTACCATACTTATTCAATCTGTATGTTGAACAAATAATGCAAGACCCTGGATTATATGAAGAAAAACATGGCATCAAGATTGGAAGAAGACTCACTAACAGCCTGATATATGCAGATGATAGAAGCTCTGATAGCATAGTGGGTTATAACTTGGGCTGCTAACTGCAAGGTCAACAGTTCTAATCTACCAGCTGCTTCTCAGGAAAAAGATGAGGCTTTCTGCTCCCATCAAGATGTACAGCTTCAGAAGCTGTATACAGGGTTGTTTTGAGTCAGAACCAACTCCACGGCACATAACCACCACCACCACCACAGGAAGCGAAGATCAAAGACTAAAGCTTTCAGTATGGATTGCAATTCAATGTAAAAAAACAACAACAAAGATTCTCACAACTGGACCAATAAATAAGATCATGATAAATGCACAAAAGACTGAAGTTGTCAAAGCTTTCTTTTGCTTGAATTCATAATCAGCACTCATGGAAACAGCAGTCAAGAAGTCAACCGACATTACATTCAGTAAATCTATGCAAAACACCTTTTTAAAGTATTTGTATACAAAGATAACAGTTTGAGGATTAAGGTGCTCCTGACCCAAGCCATAGTATTTTCAATAGCCTCATATGTATGTGGAAAGTTAGACAGTCAATAAGGAAGACAGGAAAAGAATCGATACATTTGAATTACGGTGTTGGAGAAGAATATTGAAAGTACCACGGACTGCCAGAAGAACAAACAAATCTGTGTTGAAAAAGTACAGTCAGATGCTCGTGAAAAACCAGGATAATGAGACTTTTTCTCTCATACTTCCAACATGGGACCAATCCCTGTAGAAGGACATCATGTTTGATAAAGTGGAGGGTCAGCAAAAAAGAGAATACCCTCAACAAGATGGATTGATGTGATGGCAACAGTAATGGGCTCAAATGTAGCAACAATTGTGAGGATGACACAGGCCCAGGCAGTGTTATGTTCTGTTTTGTATAGGGTCTTTATAAGTCGGAACCAACTTGATGGCACCTAACAACAACAATGCCCTCCAGATTCATCTACGTTCTAATATAGTGTTTTAAGAATGTATCATTATGCTTTATGGCTGCATAGTAGTGTTTGTTTATACATTCACCTGTTATTAGGCAGTGAGATTGTGCCCATCTTTTTGCTATTTTGAATAATGCTAT